GAGAGAGAGAGAGAGAGAGAGAGAGAGAGAGAGAGAGAGAGAGAGAGAGAGAGAGAGAGGAGTACCATCTCCCTGGAGACGCCGACCCTACCCGCACTCAGACCCCCTCCGCTCAGAGAAGGGCACAACGCTACGAAACGCTGCAGCCGGTCCCACGACCCTGGCCTGCACCGACCGGGACCGGGACCTTTGCGTCCTTCACAGGCGAGTTTTCCCCCTCCCGCCAGGAGTAACCCAAACCAGCGTCGATCTCCATTCAAGGTTTATCTATTCAAATTGAAGAGCAGCAAAGGGCTGCTCAAGTAGGGATGAGTCTTGACTCGACCTACCGCGAGGCTTCTATTGGCCCAAGGTTTTTGGTCCGACAGTCCGACGTCACAGGACGGATTCTCCATACCCTACAATACTAATATTGTGTCGGGCGGGGTGGTCGCAGAACCAGGTACGTGGTGTACGTAGTGGTACCGTGACAGGGGTGTCCGGGAAATCACCGAAGTTTTATTATTATTAATTTTGCTTTACGTGCATAGAGCAGAGCCCCGCGAACAGTGTTTGTCTAAGTCTGCTGCTACTCTACGGGCGAGGTGCGACGAGGGCCGGCTGGGTCTGAGCGAATGGGCTGAAACACGGCTCCTCGGTTCCTGTCCCCTTCCCGCCCCGCCACTCCTCGCCTCTTCAAGCCGAGCTGGTCGCCATTTCATTCAGTCAAGACGGCCGATGGGGAAAGCAATCCCATTCTGGTTTCGGCCCACTACTGCAGCGAAGGTCTAAGGGGCAGGGGGTGGGGAGGGGTGAGAGAGAGGGTGAGAGAGAGAGAGAGAGAGAGACAGAGAGAGACAGACAGAGAGAGAGAGAGAGACAGAGCAACGCGTGATCGGCCCAGGGGAACCATCCGCAGGGACTCTCTTTAAGAGAGATTCGCGCGACTACGCGCGCGAGAGAGAGAGAGAGGCGCCCGGCGCCCGGAAAAGAGGTTGGAAAATGAAATGTAGGAAAACGACGATATGATGAGAGGAGGGGGGGGGGGAGTGTGGTGAGCCCAAAATAGAAAACAACGCCGTCAGCAGCGAGGAGGGGCCACTC